TAACCTCAAACTGCAGATAACCTCAAGTAATTACAATGAAGGAGGCAAAATAGTCCATGGGAACCTGAAATTGATGTGGAGTTGTCCTGAGATGGTCAGAGTAGGGGTGACCTGTGAGATGCAAAGCCTTTTGAACGGAATGAACAGTAAATACACACACTTGGAAGGCCAGTGAGACTGTGTGACGGCAAGACAGAGAATAAGAAGGAGCATAGAGCTATGAGACCCCAGATCAAACAGCACTTTTGACAGTACTCTGCAGACCACGGGAAAACACAGGAGACAGGTTTCCAGTAGAAGGGTCACCGAGTTTCACGTGCACTTTTAAAGACTCTGAGACTGCTAATAACAGGATTGTCCACAAAGGGGCACCGGCAGGTGGGATGTTGAGTTAGCAGTCGGGCTTGGTGTGTCATTGAACCGAGACTGGGGTTGTATTTCGAGCATGACTGGTACACTAACGAAGACCGTGAAAAGCAAGGCATCTAGCCTGATGTTTAGGTAGAAGGAAGGCTTAGCTTGAGGAGATTCCTTGCGTGCGTGTGTGTGTGTGTGTGTGTGTGTGTGTGTGTGTGTGTGTGTGTGTGTATCTGTGTGTTGGAAACTCTGGGTGTCATTCCTGAGCAGCCATTCACTTTCTCTCTTGAGACAGGGTCTCTCACCAGAACCTGTTCACCAATTGTTCTAGGTTGATCACCCAACAAGCCCGGGGAATCCTCCTGTCTCTTACCTCACCAGCACTGGAATGACAAGTTGGTTTGTTTGTTGAGGATGATGGACACTGAGGCTGAGGATGGAGCCCTAGATCCTCATATGCTGGTGCAGCAAGCACTTCGTAGACTAGTCTATCTGCCCAGCCCTTCTGGCTATGGTCCTGCCAAGGTCGAAACTGTGTATCCTGAGCTGGTGGCAGAGGTCAGGCTGGAGAGTAAGTACCTGGAGAGTGTGACACAACCGGAAGTGAAGGTGTAGCTAAGGAAGAAAAGAGGGCTATCATGAAGCGTGTTCCCATTTTTAAAGGAAATAACCGATGAGCTTGAGAACAAGCAAATGTAGACAGGAAAATCCTCCCTCTGTGCAGATTCTTCAGTTACCATCGTGACACACAGAGGTACACACCGACTGTAAACTTTTTAATGGGTTCAATCAACAGACCATGCCTAAGGTGAGGAAGCATTTTCTCAGGAGAGTTCAGTTTATCTGCTCTTTGTTTAATCTAAGTGTCATTTGTCTATTTAATGAGTCAGCCCTTGTTTTCATAAGTGAGTCTTACTCTACCTTCAGAAAGTGACTTTTTAAAAACATGTACTTCCTGGTTGTGGGAGAATTCAAACCACTGTATAATTTTGTTGTAGTTTTGAGCTGGAGTATTATACATTTGAATAATTCTTTCTTTCCACCCATGTATTTTTAGCTACTACAAAGATGTGGAAATTTGCATAAGCATTTATTTCCATGTGGATCCTCAAAATCTAAATGATCTAAAAATGCTCACCTTGAAAAGGTTTCTTGTGTCTCTGAAAGTTTTCATTTGGAGTTAAAGACAGCAGGAGGAGGACCAATGGGAATGCCATCTTAGGAGGGTGAAGGACACACTAATGACTTCATGTCTCTCTACACATCACTGTGCTCACGAAGTTAGGAATACAAATGACTGTGGTTGTCCAAGCTCACTCACCCTAGTTTCTTCTTAAACTCAGAGAAAGCTTGGTACAGATGCACCACCACTGCAAGCCATCATTCCTAATCTAGCCAACGGCCTGGTGCCAGCAGTGCTAGACTCAAAACCAACTTTCCTAGCCTAGCGTAGGTCACAGTCCTGATCAAGTCAGGGTCCTTTGTGTGTGTGTGTGTGTGTGTGTGTGTGTGTGTGTGTGTGTGTGTGTGTGTGTGTGTGTGTGTGTGTGTGTGTGTGTGGTGCTAGGCAAACTTGACCACTCAGGTTCGTTGCCACCACAGGATGTCTGTTCTAAAAATACAGCATGGTTGTGAAACCTAACAACTAGTGCACTATAATTCATGTAAGCTTTGTGAAGCGTCATAAAGGCTAGAGTGTGCATTAATAAATCAGGCAAAGCACAGCAACAGCTAACTCCATCACATGCCACCTGCATGTATACGGAGGGACAACAGGACTGAGCTGTGAGATGGCCAACAAGGCCAAGAGGAAGGCAGGTTAGGAGTGTCACTGATGGGAGAGTCCCACGGGGAGGATGGGTGAAAGAAGACAGTCAAAGGAGAGGCTGTGGGGTACCAAGAAAAAAATTATCTGGGAAGCTACCATGGCTTGGGGTGTCCAACTTTAATTACAGCAGGAGTTACTCAGGGAGGTTACTATTAAGCCAGGGTCTGTTGTAAATTAAAAGTGGCATGACTGACCTACGAAGTCCTTGACACCAGAATGGCTATTACTAAAATATGACATTTTGTTCATTAAAGGAAATTTAATCCAACAACATACAAGGCATCTTTCACATATGCACTTACTTTTAAAACTTTAGCTAAAATAATAATAATAATTTGCATAAGTAGGAGGGACGGCACTGTACAGACATCCATGCTAAAAAAACCCTCGTCTAGTCAATTAATCCAGCCATGTTATTAAACTGAAGAACAATGAGTCCATGATCTTTATCATTATTGTGGAGAACTTGTTTTTGAATTTCTTGCCTTGTTTTTGGGATCACCGTATTATGCAACATCTGCTCTGAATTTCAAATGTGATAAACAAGAGTATGAGTGTTGGTGGCAGATGACCAGCAGTGACAGGGCATTCAAGACTGCCTTGTTTTCTAAGAAGCGATATTTTCATGTTAATTTGTCCTGTGTCCTGCAAAGATAGGACAAATCACCTGCTGTAATTTGGGCAAAGTGGAGACCACCAGGAGCTGTGAGGGGCTAGGGTTGGGTTCCTTTAAGAGCAGGAGGGGAAGACCTGGGAGACTTTCATCTGCAGCACAGGGACCAGTCACTTTGCATTATGTCAAGCCCACAAGGATGAAGCAGCCTCAGGCATTCCGTCCTGACATCAGAGCCACTGTTTGCTGCAAGCAGATATTAGTCACGAAAACAGACTATTTCCCAGAGCAGAAAGCAGGTGCAATCAAGAGTGCATGTCGGTGTCTGAAGTCTGGGATTTGTAAAATAAACCTAATAGTACATTTTATCTCTTATTGAAAACAGAAAAACTAACAGAATCTCCAAGAAACACTCAACTGAAGATAAAAAGAAATCTAATTCAGTGAGAAAATTACCCACACAGACATAAACCTTGAGTTTGTTTTTCGTTTTGTCCCCCACCCCCTCCAGTTCCACAGAATTGATTTATCATGGGGATTCATGGAAACAGTTTCCATCCCATGATGCTGTGAGGCACTATGATCTGGAGCTCAAAGAACTCTGTCCTGTTTTAGAGAAGCTGTGTGTCTCTTCAGTGTTTTATTCTCAAGAAGTGATACCGCCCATCTCATTAAGTATGTAGCACCGGCAGAATGTCCAAGGAACAACGTTAGGCGTGTTCTCAAGGGGTAAGTTACCTGAAGGTGCTGGGCCAGGTGTGCCCAAGAAGTGGTTCAGCGTGAGAGGACAGCCCCACCCCCACCCTGGTCTGCTCTGGGAAAGAATGCCTCACAGGAGTCCTCAGCACTCTGCCATATGGCTCTCTTTACTCCAAAGGACCAACGAGTATGGTGAACGAACTCTCTGGCACTTCTTTTGACCCTTGTCACTGAGTGGCAGATGGATGCGTGAAGACTGAAAAGTGGGGGTGGAACTAAACTCTGCAACTAAACAGATTCGAAGACAACAGCCTGAATTAGAAAGAGGAAAGCCAGGCATGTCAACAGGGTCAAAGCAGGCTCCTTGTTGGTTTCACAGTAGAGCAGTCAACAAGCTTTCTATGCAAATGTCATCATCAGACAGGAACAGGTGGACCTAAAGAAAATCACAACAGCACCTTAAAGGTGAGCTTTACACATCATTTTTTTTTTTAGTCTTAGAACATCATATCTAGAAATGTTTACTTTGAAAATGTTGGAAAGAACAATCTCTTCCTATTGCTGTTGTTGTTATTGTTATTATTATTATTATTACTACTACTACAGTTTTTCAGAGGTGACTGGGACTTCCTTTAGTCAAGACAGAAGGGAGCACCACACAGTAACGGAAGGACATCCTCCACAAACTGACCCAAATATCAACCTGGACAACTTCGTAAAGCTTCATGAAGTTTAATTTTTTCAAAACAAATGTTATTCAAATATCTGGAAACCTGTTCTCTGAGAGGTATTTATAAGCCCTCCATCTGCTGTTTTCTAACAAAGATGTTGATTAAATAATAAACAAAGGTTTTTATCCCTGTCCAGACATTATGAAATATCCTAGTTTTATCCAAGCCCTGCCTTCCTATTACAATTAGTATCCCAATAAGCACTGGAATATCTTGACTATTAGGTGTCAAACTAACATTGCCATGAGAACACCTCAGAAGACAGCCGGGAAAGGACAAAGTCCTTGGCCTAAATCTTCTTACATGGCTGCTATCGTGATTTTTTTTAATGTGTCTATTCCATGTTAAATTATTTTCCCAGTTACAATTACTCTGACAACATGTAAGAGAATGTCAGTGTGGTATCTCTAACCTTATAGCTGCTGTGACCACTCTAGAGAACACTGCGGGACCATGTGCAAAGAGCCCGGACTTAGGTTCACTTTGCTCGTATTTGCCAATGTTTGCCACATGCAAGCTCCTCTCCCTCTCCCTCTCCCTCTCCCTCTCCTCTCCCTCTCCCTCTCCCTCTCCCTCTCCCTCTCCCTCTCCCTCTCCCTCTCCCTCTCCCTCTCCCTCTCCCTCTCCCTCTCTCTCTCTCTCTCTCTCTCTCCCCCCCTCCCTCTCTCCAAAATGAAGACACAACTGCCTAGTAAGAATATTTGTAACAGTTATACCTTTAACCCAACAACTACCCATGTGATGATTGTATGAGCTCCTAAGTAATTAGTCATAATTTTAAAAATAATTTTTATATGGATCACTTTTCTCCACACTGTGATATAATACCTTGAAGGACAAATACAGGGGACGAATGACTTATTTTGTCTCACAACTGAGAGGGTACGATGGGAGGTCATTGTAAGGAAGGCGAGAGGTGTGGAGACAAGCAGCTTCATGGTCAAGAGTGTCACTGTCAGCTTGTTCACACGTCCCTGGCCAGGAAGGAGGCAGTCTGAGCAGGAAGTGTGGGCCTCAGCTACAATCCAGAAGGCTGGCAGTCCCAAGACCCACTTCCTCTAGCTGGCCCATCCTCCAGGTGTTCCAGCCAGCTAGGGAAGGAATGTTCAAACACATGAGCATGTAAGGTACGTTTTATACTCGCATCATAACAGCCTCATTAGATCACTGCAACACTCTGCGTTGGAAACATACTAAAAATCAGGAATGAAAACAAGTAAGTTTTAGTTACTCTTTAAGTTTAACCAAAGACCTTTGTCTTTCAGTAGAAATTAATCTCATTTGATCATGTTTATATGCCATTTTGAAAACACTAATATTAACCATATGCCATTAATTCTAACCTATGGGTCCAGCACCCAACCTTACTTACCAGCAAACCTAGAGAGGCACTAATTCTGAATGCTGTAAAAACTGTTCAGCCTTCAGGAGAATCTCAGCCTCTGATAACCAACTTCTGACACTGACACACACACACACACACACACACACACACACACACACACACACACGCTCACACACAAGCATGCTCACACTAACCCTGGCCCTCCCCAACTCCTCTGGTGACCACAATCATGCCTGCTTCTCTTCCTATTACGTTTGGCCTTTCACACACATCTCCAAGAATCTCCCAGGCCCATTTCATTTCTACTCCTATCTGATCACACCTTGCCTCTAGTGTACCGCTCTGGCTTATCGAACATTTTAATTATGCAAATCCCCCCCACATCATCTTCTGATACCTTAGGAGAAAATCTGAAGCTCAAAAAATTCTATGGAGCAGGTAATGTGGACTATAAATATATGGATACTTTGATATTTTCAAAGGTTTCATGGAATGACTGGTAGAAGACTTGCATCAGAAAAAGCCAATGACCAATGTCTAATGTGTTGGTTAAAATAATTACGTCTGAAGGGAGCCTGGCAATGTGTCTTATTGTATGCCTATGTGAACTAACTGAGTATGGCAGTCAGGACATAAATAGATAGTAAGATACATACATAAATAATCACAAGGGTAGAAAACACAACAAAGAAGTGGAGTGTGCAGCCACTACTCTAAGGCAAATGAGACGATAGCCACTGTGAGAGCGGATCAAGCACATCTGGATAGACCCTGCAAGAGCGGGCCAAACACATCTGGACAGACCCTGCAAGAGCGGATCAAACACATCTGGACAGACCCTGCAAGAGCGGGCCAAACACATCTGGACAGACCCTGCAAGAGCGGGCCAAACACATCTGGATAGCCACTGTGAGAGTGGGTCAAACACATCTGGACAGACTCTGCAAGAGCGGGTCAAACACATCTGGACAGACCCTGCAAGAGCGGATCAAACACATCTGGATGGCCACTGTGAGAGCGGGTCAAACACATCTGGACAGACCCTGCAAGAGCGGGTCAAACACATCTGGACAGAGCAGGTCAAACACATCTGGGTAGCCACTGTGAGAGCGGATCAAACACATCTGGGTAGACCCTGCAAGGGCGGATCAAACACACCTGGGTAGACCCTGCAAGAGCAGATCAAACACATCTGGGTAGACCTAGACAGGACTAAAGGAAAGTCCATGAAGAGGACGGCCACTGAGCTGGGAAGTCACACCACATCACAAACTGTTATCTGTTCAATGGGGTCAGGGAGCAGAGTGAGCAGAAGGGACCCAACCCTGCTCTGCAGGCACAATGTGAAGTTTTTGGATTAAGCACATAGAGGAGAGAAACAGAGTCACGGGAATGGAGTATAATGCCAGAGGAAGAGGGTGCAGAACAGGCGATCAGGAATCCTACATTTGGAGGGCTTTCAGGGCCTCCAAACTACGCACAAGGAACTGGAGCCACCACTATGCATCGCATTCTTTAATGGAAGCAAGATGGGAGAAAACAGAACTCTTACTGGCCTAAACCCAAATGGATAACCATTTATTATGCTGCAGTCTAAAAGTACCAGTATCTGGGAACATCATCTAGCCATCATTCAAAAGACGTTTCTTAGCAGATGAATTGGAAAATGAAGTTAAGCAGAGTAACAGGCTAGAGCATTAAAATGCTTTGGGTAGCTTTCCCTTTAGACCAAAGGAAGAAAGAATTTGTTTGTAGTCAATGCTTCCAAAAGCATGTCTTAACCGCCTTTGAGTCCCAAGATTACTACTTTCCATTTAGACTAAAAAAACAAACAAACAAATCTATGAATTGGAGAAAACAAAACAAACAGAAAGAGCCAAATGAATATACTTCAGAAACAGCATATAATTATAATGTGTCACTGAGTGACATTTAAAATTATATCTCGTAAAGAATAAGAACCACCAGGATACTGAGTTATATCTGTTACACCTAACTTTATAAGATTGGGGCCAGATAATATACAAATAAGTAGTTTTAAAATTTTTAATGCACATTAAAGCTAGTTTATTTTTTTAATTCACCCTAAAATTAAACTGGACTGCAAGCCCACTCTGAAGATCCCACTTATTGGATGGACTACATGATTTCCCAATCTTTGAACATTTTACTTAGTTGACATTCTGAACTGTTATTAAGTTTCAAAAACACCGATTCTGGCAATTTTCGAAAGAAAGAATACTAGTGTTGAGTAATCTGTGACAGTGGCTAGTCTCACCAGACAGAAGGGTGATTCTTGGTACCTTTATGGTTTCTGTGGGGACTCCAGGCTCCGGAACTTTATCCAAGTAAGTGGTCAAGTCTTGATCAACGTGCTCAAACACTAGTGTAAGCTTGGTCTCTCTGTCTGTCCGTGACACTGTGCACACATCAAACAACCTAGGAGGGGGGAGAAACAACCAGAATGAGTAGCTGTAAACGAGCCAAGCAGTAAGCCATGCATCTTCCATGCATGCCTCAATACCACACACAGCTGAGGGCATGCCTTGTGATCACATCTAATGGGATCAATCTAATGGGATCACATCTAATGGGATCACATCTAATGGGATTTGCTCTTGCCATTACCTATCTCAAAGTCCAGCATTGGAGCCGTGAAACATGGACTGTATTAGTCACAAAGCAACATAACTGGAGATCAAAAATCTATGTCCAGAGTGTCCTAACTAATTAAGTCTGTATGTAGACCTTGTTGATGGAAACAGCTTTAAAAACTCGCCACCAGGCAAAATAATTCTAACAATTCTTAGCTCACGGGCTGGGAAAATTAGAGGCCAGTTAAGCATTTGCTGGAGACCGCGGACTCTGCAAAAAAAAAAAAAAAATTCCCAGGACAACCGTGGCTGTGAAAACAACCATGATGGACTATGGGGAAACATTTCAAACACAGAACTCTGCAAAATTACTGTCCTAGGAATGGCATAAATTCTTAATTAGTTTTAGCATTCCAACTCTCATGTAGAATCATGCCATAAAAAAATTAAGGCTTTATTATTACTTTAACCTAACTGACAGAAAAAAAAACTGCATGTATTCGCAGGATACTATGCAATGTTTTGATATATTGGGAAACCACTGTATCCCAATAGGATAGAATAGGAACTACAGAGCTATATGCACTCCAAAACTGTATGGATTCCAAATGTTTATAGAAATCATAAAAAAGGCGACTAAGAATGTAAGATGGCTCTGTTAAATGACTTGTCAAGCACACACTGAATGGAAAGGGGGAATACACTGGAAAACTAGTAAGAAGCACAGGTGAACAAACAGTACAGAAAGAACCTTCCGCGATCCAGAGAACCTTCAAGCCAAGGACAGAGAGCCTTTGGTTGAGCACTGTCTCACATGCAAGTCTCACCAAGCTGTCTGAGGAATTAAACAAGCCACCCATAAATACACTGATGGAAACTTCTTGAGATGAATGTAATGTAAGTAAGAGGAAACAAAATGTCATTCATATTATGTTTTCATTTCAAAGCTAAAAAACTTGTTCAAGAAACTGTGTGTACACACAGGCCCCTTGCTGATAAACCATGGGTTCACTGCCTTGGTTCAATTCGGAGGCTACTTCGAGTAAATTTTCAAGGCCTGATTGGTTTACTGGGCCAAACTACTGTATTTCTGGGGTACATGGGCTTCAAGTTTGGTACTTCTTTCTGAAGCTACACTAAATTTTAATATCTCCAGAACACTGTTATCTTAATCTATAATAAACTGTATAAAATCTGCACTATGAAAGGCTTTGGTGAATCCATCAAAACGGCCTCTGAACTCCATGGTTTGACCATCTGTCCATAAGCTGGTTTGAGCCACCTTATTACTATTACTAAGCACATCTTTCAACCACTTCTTCACGAAGGAAAGAAAGACTTACAAAATCACCAAGCTGATGTCTCTGTCTTGGCAATAAAGCTACAATGAACCCAAAGTGGGATGTAATGAAATCAAATACAAATGCTGGAGCTAGGCCATTACATACCCATTCCAAGTGGGCCTCTCAAGTGTCACTTTCCAAACAGTCCCCATTATAACGAAGACATTCCTTAATGAAAAGTGCGTAGCTCATCACTTGCTAATGAACAATCCCAGTTCTTATTAAAGGGGTATCCTCCCTGGATTTCCTGCCCCCCCGTGACTCTCCCCCATGTGTGTCTATGTCTGTGTTTGCTGTTATTAATTTTCAAAAGAAGGAAAAATCGTGATGGGGACATAACACAGTTGAGCCAAAAAGGTCACCTGCTCCCTAAACCGTTGTCTTAGAAATTACCTAATAACCCTGGCTGTATGCAATGTTGCTTAATCACCCTGAAACCGTTTCCAAGACTCTTGTATAACACAATTCATGAATAGCATCTAACCACCCAAGCTGCTCTTCATTAAATAATGCCTCGTTCTTCAAAATATTAGTACCTGCTAACGTCACCTAAGGTACTGTGGCTCCACACTAAGGATGCTGAATAAGATAGATCGAGGTGACCTTAACAAAGCCTCTACTAATTGTCTTAAATGATAAACGCGAGGGGAAAACTTCAAAGTGGAATATATTTAAACAGATGTGTGGCAATGCATACAGAAGAATATTATTTTTAGTTCGTGTATATAAATATTTTGCGAGCATGTATATGTGTTTCATGTGTGTACTTGATGCATTTGGAGGTAGAGAGCTTCAGATTCCCTAGAATAGGGGTTACAAGTGGTTGTGAGCCAGCCTGTGGGTGCTAGAAACTGAACTAACGTCCTTTGCAAGAGCAACAAATGTTCTGACAGCTAAGCCTTCTGTGTGGATTTTTATGCATTTAACTATATATTGTGAGCTATAAAAAGTTAGGAGTTATGTAGACGTTGTTCGTCCCGGTTCAAGAATACATACTTTTAAACATTCGGTGTATTCATCTGTCAGTAGAGGATACCACAGTCCCCTTAGAAACTCACAACTCACATCAAGGAGACAAGCAATAGGCTACTCACTTGCAGACTCCAGTGCTAGCCATCAGCAGCTTATAGATCAGTGATCTCAACCTGTGGATCACAACCCCTGGGGTCGAATGACCCTTTCACAGGGGTTGCACATCTATTTAACACACAGCTGCATTAAATGGCCAGAGCATTAGGAAGGTTGGGAACCACCGCTACAGGTGACACACTTCTAAAGACACTGTTTGGAAAAACCCTACTCTTCACTGTAACATAACCCTGCCTTAATTGTCGAATAAACATTTTAATAACTGTTAACTTGTTAACTTTTAGTAAAAGGTAACAGTTGCATTAATCGGAATGGATGAAAACACATTTTTAGCCAACAGTTGTGAATATTAATTTTGGAAATTCTAGAACAAAATACACACGATGTCTTTTTATCTATGGATCCCCCTAAAATTACTCCAAATCAAACGATAGTCATTTTGGTAGGCAAAACACAACAGATATGTCCGTATGGTAAATAATTTTCATAGAACCCAATTAAAATAAACTAAGATCTCTGGTATTTGGTTGGTAATCTATTTATGTAAATCAATGAGGAATGTTGTCAGACTGCCTATATCCCCTATACTTACAAAACCAAAGAGCAAGGCAGGTCTGAATGTTTGAACATAAGCACTGGGAAATAACTTCCATTGTATGACTTCTTGTGTTAGCCAACATTTACGACTTTCTAAAATATTCAGTAAGCTCACAAAAACACCATTTTTTCAGTGACTTCATGACTGCATGTCCACAGGAAGCATGCAGCCACACTGTACAGACCCTGAGCGAGTCAACAGTAACTCTCAGATGACCTTCGGAGGGAGGTCGCCCTGGATGGGAGTAAACACCATCCAAAGGGAGATGGGTCAGTTATCCGGCGAGAGCAGGAGATCCGGGCTTGGTTCCCAGCACCCACACGGCAGCTCGCAATTGCCTGAAATTCCAGTTCCAGGAGCTCTGACACCCTCTTCTGCTTTGTAAGGGCTCCTGTACACATATGGTGTATAAACTCATGAAGGCGCATGCACGCACGCACGCGCACACGCACACACACACAAGTAATAAATACTTGTTCAAAAGAGCAGACATGAGAAGAGGCTCTCGGTATTTGTTGTGGCTACGCACTCCAGTTTGGCAGAGTGAACGCAACCCAAAATATCAGTTGTTATCATTTCACAGTGAAGCACCGAACCCTTTAACTATTCCACCCAGTGAACTACTTTCCTGCTGTCTCTAGGGTCCTGACCTCCAGCAGCAGGGCAGAAGACAAGCAGAGCCCAGCACAACACTCAGCTTTCCTGCTGTGAGTCCTAGGATGTAATCATCCCTCCAAACACTCCCTGAACTGGGTTGCATCCTATCCATTGTAATTCTTAACTTCCTGTTGGCATCCTCAGTTTAACTTGCTGCACAGGACCTGCTGCACAGGCCATCGGCCTTCAGCTGACAGATGGGAGCGCATCCAGCAGTTCTGGGATTTCCAAAGTTTGCAGTTTACAAACGTCTCCCAAACAACCAGCCTTGTCAACACGACCTCTGCCTTTCTATTGTGGTTATAAGAAAAGGGAAATCTGTATTATTTGCTGTGATTATACCATGACCCAAAGCAGGAAGTTCTAAGAGGAGTTTTTTCCTGTCAGGTCTCCCTGACCTTGCACACTCTGCATTGTTTGGATACCAAATAGTTCTAGAGCTGAACACTGTCTGGCACAGCTGCCTAAGGGACATAACAAATTCTTATTTGAACTAGAGCCAGAAATAGAAACGGAGATCTCCCCCTCCCCCATCTAATCTCGAAGCTCCATGAAGTACAATGGTGGGTAGAGCTTGCGGATCCAATCAGCGTTCGCCATCTTGCTGCTAGCCCCACACTAGCGTACACACGGCTCTTCTTGCTCCAGAAATACAGACTGGGTATGCACTGGTTCACCAGCGACACGAAATGACCAACTCCAGAGTACTGGCCAGCAGCAGCAAGAGCATGCTGCTGCTAAAGGCGATCGCGACTTTGCCGCCACTCCAGAATGGGCACAGGGTTAGCACACGCAGCCACCATACTCAGTCTAAAGTGGCAGCTGACCAGGATGGGTTCCAGGAAGAACTTTATATTAGCATTACCACACCGGCAAGGCATAAGCCCGCAGCGCTGGCGGCTGCCCTGCCCAATTCAGTCCACCTACCCCAGAACATGGCCTGAGGTTTCAGGGGACCCGTTTTAAGTGCCTCAAGTCTATTCTGTCTGATTTACCTGAGCTAGTGAAGTCCCATTTCTGAATTCCAGTTGGGATTTTATTACTTATGGAAAACAAAATAAAACTCCAACCCTTGGCAAATCATGTATGGGGCTCATATACAGGGATTTGCCTGAAATAATGCACAGTTAATCACGGTAATTCTTAAAGAAAATAGTC